CTGGCTTTCGAACGATCTTTGAGACAAAACTTTCAGATGGTCGTGCGTGAGACTTCGGCATGCTTAAGAACTGATTTCGAGTTTGTAAAGCCCTGCTTAGGCTGGAAACATCCTCCTGAAATTTTCAGCCTCCTAACTCTTCTGGTCCCCGAGATAATGTTTTTCTCGCCAAAACTTCCACTGGGACATTGAAGATTTGCGGAGCTGTACGCGGGAAGGGGATGCCACGCTAAAATTCCAGCTTTCTAGTTCTTGCAGTTCACGAGATAATAATTTCCCTACCAAAAATTTCACTGGGCCATACGTGGTACCCGAGGGTGCGTGAATGCTGAATCCAAATTTGCAAGGGGCGTACGTCGATAGGGGACATCGCCGTAAAATTTCAGATTCCCGACTTTCGTGGTTCCCGAGATAGTAATTTTCCCCGCCAAAACTTTCATGGGGCCGTAGCTGATACCTGCGAGCGCGGGAACGCTGAATTTGAATTTGCAAGGTCGTACTTGGGCAGGGGTCTTTGTCCAAAAATTTCAGTTTCCTAGATCCCGTAGTTCTCGTGATAATAATTTTACCTACCAAAGCTTTTACGGGGCCGTACGTGTTACCTGTGGGTAGGGGAAGGCTGAATTTGAATCTGCAGAGTCACACGTGGGTGGGGAACATCCCCCTAAATTTTCAGCTCCTTAGCTTTTGTGGTTCCCGAGTTGAAAGTTGCGAACGAGTTGTTGCGGACACACACATAAATGCAAACACACACACACACACAACAAACAACCTCGTGACAATATGCGTTCTGTGCAGCTATTGCACAGCACAAAACACATATTAAGGGCAACGCGCATCAGAGTAGGCAGTGCGGTTATTCGTTTTGCGCAGTTCCGCCCAACAAACGTTTGCTGTTAAGAATGTTCACTACTTTGCGTGCAGAAATAGTCGAAATGATGCCAAGTTCTTGAGATACAAACTTAACCTTTTCCTTGCTCCCGAACTGGTGATCTAAATGAGCTTGGAAGCTAAGTTTAAATCTGTAAAGTCAAGGGTGGGCAGAAAACATCCCCCTACAACTTAAGCTTCCTACTTTTTCTGGCTCCCGAATTAGTGATTTTCTAGCTAAAAGTCTCACGTTCACGTACGTGATACCTCGTGTACAAAGAGGCTGAAATTAACCTTGTAGGGCGGCACAGGCAGTAGAATAAACTCCTAAAATTTCATCTCCCTCACTTTCTTGGATTCCCAGGTTGTAAATTCCTTGCCAAAACCTTTCACATGCACGTACGTAGAAATTAGGCGTGCATGGAATATGAATTTAAGACATTTTGGTCGCACATGGACACCGGACATTCCCGTATGATTTCAGCTTCCTTGTTCTTCTGACAACCGAGTAAGTGATTTTTCCCGTCAAAACTCTCGCGTCTCCGTATGCGATACCTTAGGCGTACATGGAAACTGAATTTGAATTTGCGGATTTTGTGGGATCAAGAGGGTCCTTTTCTGATTTTTGGCT